CACAGCCTAGGGGTAGAAGTAGGTCGCCGCCGCCACGTGAGGGCAGCTACCTTTCCCAGATCATGATTATGATGGTGTTTCTATAGGTTTGTCTTTTGATGTTGAGTTGGGTGAGATACAGGACGAGTTGTCTGTTTGTTATCTGGTTCGGGAGATGGTTTTGAACGCTTCCATGGCACGTAAACGAGCGGTAGAAGTTTCCGAAAGAAGGTTAAACCCCGAAGAAAAGGCAATGTTTCGTGCAGCGAAATCAGCAGAATGGTCACAGTGGATTCTAGCAACGACGTAGTGGAACTGATTAGCCGACATGGTGTAGACCCCAAAAGAGTGATTGCATCTCGCTGGGTACTTACTTGGAAACAAGGACCAGGGGAGGTTCATTCGGGGCCCGGGGGTTCTAAGGCTAAGGCTCGATTGGTTATTCGCGGTTTTAAGGATCCCGACTTGGGCCAGTTTAGTACCGCTAGTCCTACTTAGTCTAGGCAGGGCAGACATGCTATTCTAACTGTAGCGAGCCATCTTCAGTACCGGTTGTTCACGTTAGATGCCAAAACAGCTTTCTTAGCAGGAGACCAAACTTCCCGTACCAAACCCATCTATACCGAATTACCCAAGGACCTTGTTGAAGACCAGGGGTACAGTCCCAACGTCATTGCACGTATAAAGAAGGTACCCTACGGTTTGAGCGAGGCGCCGCTAGCTTGGTATCGACGTTTAACTTCTGAGTTAGAAGCCGTGGGTTTTGAACAGGTTCCTTCAGACAGATGTATATATGTGTTTAGGCGGGGAGGAAAGGTACTCGGGATTATAGGGGCTCACGTAGATGACCTGTTGGTAGCTGGTTGTTCTGCTAGCGTTGACCCCAGTTTTGAAGAAGCTATGGCGAAATTAGTGGCGCGACTGCCGTTCGGAGAACGTAAGTACGCTGACACTTCTTCTGTGTTGTATACCGGTTTAAATATGAGACAGCATCCCCAAACACGCAGTGTCACGATAGACCAGGCTCACTACGTTGCAAAGTTGAAGGAAGTTCCCACACGTAAACTGCCCGAAGGTCTCTTGAATCGTGAAGGCCAGACCCAGTTCTGGTCACAGCTTGGTGCTTTATTATGGGTAGCTATCAACACACGTCCTGATGTTGCTTATGATGTATCGCATTTTGCATCCTACGGTTCCCGTCCCGAGAAACAACACTTGGCAGCTCTCAACAAGATAGTTCGGACCCTGAAGTCTAAGGATTACAGCATAACTTTCTCTAAAGTAGCAGACAGCTGGGAAGAGATGACTTTGGTTGTCTTTTCGGATGCCGGTCACACGTCAAGGCCTTCTGGCCACTCACAGTCCGGCACAGTTACCTTTTGGGCACCCCGAGAGGTCCTTCATGGTCAAGAGGTTAGGGCTGTTCTTGCTGACTTCTCTAGCTGTAAAATAGACGGGGTGTGTGGTCCAGCTATGCCTCGGAGTTGCAGGCAGCAACGATTTCGGCGGATGCTTCCGTCAATCTGCTGCTCATGTACGAGCAAGTGTTTTACGGCCTCAAGGCAAAACAAGTCAAGGATAAGCTCACGAGTGGGTCTGTTGTTCGTGCCTTGGTGACCGATAACAAAGGGCTCTATGACTCAACACAGACTGAGAAGCCATCAACTAGGCAGGGTGTGAAAATGCAGTCCTTGGTATATCAGATACTCTATGACCTAGTGGTAGACTATGGCTTTCAGACATTTTGGGTCAATGGTGCTGACATGTTGGCTGATGGCCTCACCAAGTTGAGCACCTCGGGAGCCCAAGTAGATGCCGTGCGGAAGGTCCTTGAGGACTCTTTGATCCGCATCACGTACTGCGCGGTGTCTGGACGTAAGGAACAGCGCGAAGTAAGGCAGCTTAAACCCCTCGAACCGTCAAACAGAGAACTTGAGTCGTCAATAGACGTTTGAAGGCATTCTCTGTCTCGCCAGTTTTGCTAAGCCAGGGTTCGCAGTGCATTCGGGATGTCGAAGACATCACTGTCTTAGCTGTGTTATGAAGGAGTATGCAGCAACTGCTTTTGGACCCGTATGAGTTACACTGCACACAGCGGGGGTGTGAATTGAAGATCAATTCTTGCGCTCAGCTCTGACAGGTACATGTGAGCAGTGTCCTCATCGGCACTTTGAAGGTTCATCTGCCAACGTGGTTGGCTCAAGCATGCGAGAGACCACTCGAGGCACGGAGAAAAGCCTATGACTTATGCAAGTGCAGACATGCAGAATGTAATCATCAACCGGATGTTCGGTAGTTCATTCTTTGAGGAGGCACTCCTATTTAGTGCCAGCATTGAGCTGTTGAGCTTGATAACAGGGGGCATCTTGCTGCTATCAACAATACGCGTGGATTTTTATCTGATATGAAATGCCAATAAGTGTTGAAATCCCCAGCACGTTT